GAAAAAATAAATTTTTATAAAAAATTTGATTGGTATTTCTTCATCATTCTTTTTTTTTTTCAACCAAAAGAAAATTTCATTAGATAGTAGCATAAGACCACAAGGCCAATAGATGGTCATAGAGAGAAAGAAAACAATCAGAGAATTACAATAAAAGATAGGGCCAACCCAACTGAACGCAATAAGGTGAGAAGGACTCATATCGCCACCTAATTGTCAGGTTTGGGCCATCCAAGAAGTAAAAAAGGTAACAGTCAAAATTCAAAGTACACAAAGTCCTCAAAAAATAAAATCCACCAAATTAGGTAGAAGAAAATCCACCTAGGTTTCAACCAAGTCATGCCGTCCAAGGTGCATGTAAAAAACCTGCTTCATCATTGTCCATACTCGATTCCTATATTGCAGCGAAAAAAACTAATAACAAAAGTAATCAACATAGCCAAAACCAAAACTTCCAAAAGGAAGAATCATTTCTTCGTCGTTATTATTTTACAAGAAAGAATAATTAGGTTGAATATATTATTACTCAATTGAGCTCAAATGAAAGAACGAATGTTAAGGAATGTAAAGGGGGAACATTTTCTATTTATTATGGAAAAAGAGATATGGACTATTCACTTTATTGCACAATGAGCATACGATATAATGTTTGATTGCCTAAATCTATTTATCGTCATGTTTTTCTCCATATATCTCTTTTAACTCTCCTCATTATATATTTCATCACTCCAAAGTTCATTCAATTATCCTCTCTATAGGTAAAAGACCATCATCATTTCACCTTGTTCCCCTATGAAAGTTATATTGGGTTGAAGGCTAAACCGTAACAATGGATTGATTTTTAATGTTTTCAAACTTTGAATTAGAGTATAAAGATTTGTGCACATTATCAGGAATGTATGGTATGTTTAATGGTATATAGATATTGAGATGAACATATTATGTTGAACCAAGGGGGCTAATGGTACATGCATATGTATTTTTTTTTTTTTTTCATATAGAAATTGTCAACACGACAAGGATAGAAATCCTCTACAGAGAGGATTGATAAATATCGGGGTTGGAAATTAGAAGTAAGAACTAATTGATTTACTTCCAAGATGCTATGCATCTTCTACTAAACTTGCCTCATTCCATTAGTTTATCGATCTTTAGGTGATGCATCAACATTAATTAAGGTTTTTGAAGAATGAGGAGATTGGATCAAGATTAGCCAAACTAGATAGAATGTTCAATTCTTTTTATTGAAAGCTAGGAGACCCGTATGTAATTCTTTTATCTGCAAATATATTTTATAGTTAAATCATGCATTATTATTCTTATATTATATGAAAGAGAATCGAAAGAAAACATACAAGATGACCAAATATGCACTAATAAAACTGAGCAAAAGAATGAAAATATAGAGAAATATTTCTCTCAACAATCTCATTGATATTATACAAAATGACAAAGATTGATAAGAAGAAATTAATATAAAACATAATGTGGCATACGCTTCAATGAAACACTGCCAATTCATTCAACTGAGCTACTTAATGATGATGATCGTGATTTCCACTTAAATGAAATTTTCTTGCAAAGTAACTATCAAAATACACTTGTACATTAGTTGTAAGAACTAAAGACCTCCAATGAGCTCAACTATGGCTCATTGTACATATGATTAAAGATAAGCTCATTGCCTATCAACCTAATTAATTAAAGATAAGCATATTGAACATGAAGAGAGACTATCACAATTCATTTTTTTCTACGAGAATGCTTAGTGGTATTGTGAACAAGCTATCACTTATGTGAGAGCATCCTTTGAAAAACTACTATCTTATCTAGTTATGATTCACAGAAAAAAATTAGTGTTAATTATTGATCTACATCAAGACTATAATGGTCATTTCAAACTTGTATTTATTTTTATTTATTTGTTTTTTAAAAGCGCAATCCCGAACGTGTGAATAAAATATTCTTAAATACAGGTTGTGAAGATAATTCGCTTATGGCAGTGGCACAAAATACCAATACTCTTCCATTTCTGATATTTCTTTCTTTTTCAGTTTCTTAGTGACAATAGGCTATGACATACTGCCTAAATCGTAGACACATGTGATAAATAAGAGAATACTAAAGATTCGAATAATAGAGCTTCTCAATTCCGACACAAGATGCTTAATCGATCGAATAGAATGATGTCGCCATATCCGGGTAGAACAGGAGGCGATTCGAAAATTGCGTAGGTTGGTTCGATCAAGCTGTTGAATATTGAAAACAAGCTAAAGCGGTTATTCCAAGGAATTATATTGAAGCACATAAATGATTAAAAAAATGAGGCGCTTTGAATAAGACTATTTTCTCTTTCATTTTGTGGATCCAACAATCAAATAATAAATCGCTCTTATAAAAGTTAAAACAATTTGATGACAACTTAGTATTTATATATTAAGTTATATATATATAATTGCACAAATTTAATAATTAATTTTTTAACGGATAAATCATAAATGTTATTTGATGAATATATAAATTTTCAAAGACTTTGAAGTTAGGTTTTAACTCTCTTTTTTAACACTGTATTGATGAAGAATGGAAAAACGCAGAGCAGAAACCTAGGCTGGTGGTCCTAATGGCATTTTGGAGGAAAAACTTCTCTGGCTTCCTCCCTCGCCTGAGGACCATCCATTCTTCCATCAATTCGGAAGGCACCGCCGCCTATACTCAGCTCCTCGGCATCCACGTCCTCCACTGCCCGGTAGGCTTCCGCTTCACTCTCTTCCTTCTATCCAGTCGCGATCACCGCTTCTCTTCCATCATAAATCGAGATGAATTTGTTATCAGGACGTGGTAGGCATTGTGTCAAAGGTATCGGAATGTATCGCCTTTCGCGGCGCCAACATTCACAGCGTGGATGTCTTTGTCCCAGAGAACAAACAGGTCTTCTACTCAAGGAGGTTATTGCTTTCTTGCTTCTGTCTCTTGCGCTTTTCATAGGTTTGGAAGATTTGTAAATGTGAATTGCTTAATTTTTCGTGGGTATTGGACCGTTGGGTTGGTAGATATTAGAATATACAGTATTCAGGAAGACAATATTGGGATGCAGCTTGGCGAGCTAAAGATTATCAGTACAGTGAAAAAAAAACTGTCTCTATTTCCATTAAGATGTGGCTAATTTCTTAAACAATCATTTGGAGGTAGAAGCTAGCTTGAAGTAATTGGTCTCTCTTTGTAAAATATTTTGTATAAATACAACAATGATGTTAATAAAGTTTATTAGAGCCAGAGGTGTTTTCAAATAAGATAAGTTTATGAGTGCAAACTGCAGAGGATAACTTTTTTTTTCAAATTGTTGTAAGAAATTCTTGTTGAGGGGTCAATTTATAGTTTCTATATAGAATTTAGGGCTTTTAAATGGGATGGGTATAGATTCTGTGAGAATACAATGAGAAAACAGTACATATTACACGCTTGATCGAAGTTATATGAAAGAGAAATATCTAAAGAGATTTACAAAGGTTCCATGATATTGTATGTATTTTGCACGTGAATAATAAGAATTTGATAACATGGATGCCTGACCCTCTTGACAACATTGTTGTTTCCTCTCTCGATGCTTAATACACGACATCGACGTCCGACTCTCGATATCCTAA